GATTATCGCCACAATTATATGATACTCGTAGATACATACAATCACAGGGACATTACAATAGACAACAAGAAATTGCGCAAGTTAGGGAATTTAAATATTTAGGAGTCTTAGATGAAAATCTGACTTTCTCGAATCATGCAAATTATATGTTAAAAAAGTTTCAAAAAATTTATTATTTATGTAGAATAGGTAATAATTTAAGTTCTTGGTCTAGACTTCTAATCTTTACAACAATTGTACTGCTCCAGTTCAATTACTGTTCTACCATTAAGTATGTGTTTCAAAAGAGTGATATAGAAGTCTTACAGAGAAAACAAAATTGTGCATTAAGACACATATTAGGTTGCAATAGGCATACAAGAGTAAGAGACATGTTAGAAGCTACAAAACTATTGAGTGTGAAGCAAAATATTTTGTTAAATACAATGACTGTTATATATAAGATAAAAAATGGTATGTACCCGGAATATATTTTAGAAAATCTGCAATTAGTATCTGATATTCACAACTACATTACAAGAGGTAGACAACATTTTTATGTAGCTTGGGTGCATTTGAGTTTTGCACAAAACAGTATGTTTCATAAATGTTTAGTAGATTTTAATAACCTTCCAGACTATATAAATAAAGACTTTAAATTTTGTTAGCTTTAGAGAAAGGTTAGGAAAATATATTGCGGAAAACCATAGTATTATATAAGTACAGATGCAATAAAGGATTGATTGATTGATTATCTTGAGGTGTGGAATTTGGTGGGAAAACTACTTGATGCGGCGTGTCGGGCGAGCAAGGCCGTTCAGTCCTGAATATCCGAACCATATGTACAACGTACAACACTTGTAAGCAGACCACGGGATTTAAAACGATTGTTTTGGATAGCCCTTTTTTTTGGGGAGTGCCTTTTCCGCATTTTACATCTATATGCTTTGCTTGTCTACTTATACCATTCATTCTCTCTCATTCATTGTTAAGTATGTCTGTATGGTTACGACTTACCTACGTGTATATCAATAATGAAAGGATATTTGCCTATGTTACTATATTCTGATCCAGTTCTGAAATGACACGTTGCTCATGAGTACCGCAAATACAATCAATGCATCGTTTCTAGCGGAATAACAAAGAACACTAACAAAAAAATGGCGCAAACTAGATTGACTATACTTCCTATGTCCGAGCCGTCCTTATCGGATGAGAGGCCTGGAGAAAAACATTTTTGCGAGGCGTTTTTTTTAAGAAGGATGAAGTCATTTCATCTCAAAACACGCCAATTATTTACGTGATTTTTTTCATTTCCCAGGCGTCTTTTTTTATTTTTGATGTAAGTATACAATATTTCGCACTGGGTAAAGAATTGAGATAAGAAAGAAATACGATTTATGACTGTGGTCTTATAATAATGTTAAGGTCTGCCAGGAAATGAATGAATTCGTATAAGAAATCTTATTTTGTTATCAATCATAAATAAGCACATATTATAAAATATTCATATTATTTACACATTCTATTATTTGTTTTAAGTGGTCACGTTTGTCAAGTTTCTTCAGTTTTTCATAATCTACGCGCGTGATTCAACTGACAAGAACGTTTTCACTAAACTAATGAGCCAATTGAGGCACCGGGGAGATCATGTTGCGACAGGCTCGTCGGTGCGTCAGTGGTGTGTGAGACTGTGTCGAAATCGAATCGTGGTTAGGTAGGCTCACTTGAGTACGATTAATCTTCGACCTCTATATATCATACTACTTATATAAAATAAAGCTATCATTCTATTTCCATGGCAGATGTAGAGAAACAGGTGTTAACTGGTTATGTCTGACAGGTGCATAATATTACCCGGATCAGAAACTTCTTAATAATTGACACTGACACCAAACATGCAACAGCAACACGCTGAAACTGCGGTCGAAAAATGTGAATGCCAAAAGGTAGGGCCGAACAAGGACATCCTCAACATATAATTAAAACAGATCAGGGTGAAAACTGCTACAGTATACGCTTCGGAGGCTGGAACATCTGTATAAAGCCGTAGTTGATGGGTGGAGATTTCAATTCGAAGTCGACAACTTGGGGCCCGGGTAACTGACAAAAGAGGACAGCTCTGAAGAAATTCTTGCTGCAAGGAGCCTCGTCACAGCAAACAATGGTGGTAGATATTAGACATTACTTTCCATTGTGAGAACCAGATTGGTACAATCAAAAACTGGAATGTCTCGATGATGAAAACATAAGCGACCATAAATATATTATGTTTGAAATAACAACTAACAAATCTGCAGTTAGCCCTATGGAACAAAACTGGATGATTACAAGGACAAAGAAAGTTCAACTGCTGGAGGATGTAGTCATAAGAGCATGTGATAACACTTTTGGCTTTTGGCATGGTCCACAAAAATGGTAAAGTGAGAGAAGCAAAGTATTGGTGGGATAATGAAATAGCACAAAAAAGAGAAGAATGCCTAACTATCAGATGTAGAATAACCAGGGAAAATAGAAAGTACTATAGAGCAAATGGAACAAGGAATAACGTTGATGCTTGAGTAAAAAAAACGTTATCAATATGCCAAACAAGAGCTAGAGAAGCTCATGATGAAGTCTAAACAGAGGCTGTGGAAATACTTATTATATAAAGCTAAAACTCACAGACAGACCTGGATACTGAACAACAAATAAAAATTGCAGATGGATTGTTCCCGAGGTGCTCACCCACCGAATGGAAATTTGAAGAGACTGGACGTAGCAGAGTTCACCATGAGAGAGTCGGAAGAAGCTGCAACTTGAAAACATCAGGACTAGATGAAATACCAAATGAGATCGTGAAAGCGCTGATTAAAGAGATATCCGAAATCGTGCTGTCTGTGATGAATGACCGTTGCTCTAAATTGAACTGAAACGACTGCACATTGTGCACATACGAAACTAGTTCTCAAATTCTGCCAATTAAGTTATGTTGTACTTTTGGTATCTTGTTGTTATGGCCAGCGTTTTAAACCACAAGTTGAAACCACACAACCTCAGCAGTTTGTCTATTTTCAAGCGTATATTTACAAATAGCATAATAAATCTGCTACAATATTATGTACTGAAGTAACTCTCCTGGCTAGTTCGATTCTACTCCAAGCTGTCGATATGGCAAATTAAATCTCTCAGTACATATTGCAGACTTAAGCATATTTTTAAGCGCTGTCAAAATGTGATGCCTAATGCTGACAGCATTTTGGCGGTCCACTTTACCTCCGTCTAGCAGTCACCCAAAGACCCTACTACCTGACCTGTCTACCTCCGAGTTGATATTCCACACCTTCCGACACAACACATGCTGACGACGCTGTGCATGCCAATATGCGACAAATGATTCGATAATTGGTCAGTGATAGCAATGTGCGTACATGACGCCCGCTCTGTACCGTAAAATGATATTTTCGTGCGTTGCGTCCTAATTTTTCATTTTAAAATAAGAAATGAAATATTTGCGATATGCGCTAAAGTATAGTTCATCCATAAAACGTCTTTATTGGGCGAAGTTTAGCTATAAGCTATTCTATCACTTGTCCCGTATATATGGAGACAGTTTATGGATTTTATCAAAGAAAGGAATTATAGTTTAGAAAACACTACAATACCGATGCTGGCGAATATTCTCACTGACTGGGCCTACAACAAAAAAAATAAAAATAGTGAAGATTATAACTTTTACTGTGAAGACTGTGGGGAATGTTACTTCAGAACTATTAGAAAAATGTCAGGGCGGATATATTAAATTTAATCCTTCCACTGACACTGAATTTAAATCAGCCGCGATGCAAAAAATGGCAAAAGAAAGAAGTTATAAACAAACCCCCTAGAAAAAAAACATTACGATCAGTTCAAAGCCATGATACAGAACTGTGACGAACACACGCCTGATGCCTTACAAAAAAAAGTAACATTTTGTTCTGACGGTGTAAAATGTTTAACTTCCTACTTCAAAGAAGAAATTAATAAGGCAGGGGAAAAACTAACAGACTGAAATACAACCCAATATTCGACAAAACAACGCCTTGTGCCCTTCCAAGTGGCTGGTTAAAAACATAGTTAACCTGGATTTGTCTCCGGTAAGGTTGTTCAGAATGTTATGGAGAAGAGAAATTACATAAATACTCCGATATTTTTCTTAACTGTTAATCCTTTTGGAAAATTGGGCAAGTGGTACAAGAACATCCCTGTCGGAAAAAACATGGTCACTCAGTGGACTTCAAGGGAGGCAAAAAGTCAGGTTTGGAGGGTGAAAAGGTAAAAATAACTAATCATTCACTGCGTGCAACAGCTATTTCTAACTTAGCAAAGAACGAGGTTGAAGAGAAGACATTGATAAAAAATACTGGACATTCAAATACGAAATCCATAGCGCCATATCTCCAACTGGACAAGGAACACCATTCAAGCATAGTAGAAAAAATGATGGATAATAATACAGCTAACCCTAATAAAGAAACTAATGAAGCTAATGTGCCTACAATAAGTTCTTTAAGTTATAAATCAATAGCAAACTCGAATACATCAACAAGTAGTGCAGCAGACTCCAAAAATACTAATTATATCTCACGTCCATTCCGAAGATGAATTTAACTAAGGTAGATGTAATAACTAAGGTAGTACGCCGCTATGTACGGGCGCCACTTTTTTTTAGAAGAATAGTAGCGCGAGCGTGGAAAGATCTCCACCCGCTCTGTCCCTGCCGCTGCCTGCTGGTACCTGCCGCCAGGGTTGCCAACTTAGTAGATTTTCTACTAGATCTGGTAGATTGCAGTCTTCATTTAGTGGGCAAATTTACGTTTTAGTGGCTAGTAGAAAATCCAGTAGAATGAAAGAATCAGAATAATTAGTAAGCCACTTTCGATTTATATCATTATGAACCTTAGTTACTCATGTCAATTTGTCAATTGAAGTAATAATTCAAGAAAGTAGCAAACTGTCATTGGGAAATATCCTATTTTGATTTAGTTGAACATCGAATCGATAGATGGCAGAACCAATAAATTAATTTGCGTATGCGTACTTCTTCTCTTAGTTCTCCTTTGTCGGAAATCAGGGGTATGAAAGTCAGATGAAGGATTTTGCGCCTCGTTTTGGGACATCTATTGGGGTTGCACATCACTAACTGCATGATGTTTGCCAATTCCTTCGGTAGATGGCGCGAGAAATTCAGCCGCCATCTTTTTGTCACGTGATTTGATCACGTCACGTTCTGAGCATCATCCACGGGAATCACAGACATTGTTTTTTCTTGCACAGACAATTGAAGTTTATCTCGTATACGATGATTTAGGTGATTTTTGAACATTATTTACAGTATAATTTGTGTGCTTTCTAGTAGCTATAGCATACTATTCTGCTATTTTAAGACTGCCTGCCTAATTATTTGATTTTGGTAAGTGAGCATGATACTGATACATATATGATGTAGATTACTTTGAATTATTATGTATTACAGATTACAGAACCATGCCTAAACCGCAATATACTCAAAAGTTTCGAGACGCATGGTTAAAGGACCCTAGTTTAAAAGAATGGCTGTTGGTTATTGACAGCACTTTAGGAAGGGAAGCTAAATGCAAATTTTGTAGTAAAATAATTACGAGTCATTACGCCGACCTTAAGAGCCATGGTGAATCCAAAAAGCATAAGGAAAACGCAAGATTTGACTGTATTAATAGTGAATTATTTTTATTTTTAGAAAGTGTATTTTTTATTATTCGTGCAAGGACTAAAATTAATGCGTCTATTTTTGTTTCGTTTCTAGATAAAATATATTTTTGCAATATTACTAAATGTTCTGCTTTTATTTATAGATTTACCTTTATCTTTAATATTTACAAAATATATTTTCACAATATAGTATTACTAATTTGAAATAATATATGTCCAAAAATCTAAATTAGAGTAAAAACTAAAAATACATAATATGCGCACACGCCTTTAAAACCTAAAACGTAATTAACTGCAAAATGAGGGTTAGCTATAACTAGTAGATTTTCTGGTAGATTTATGAAATTCATAATTTTCATCTAGTAGATTTCTGGTAGATCTGGCAGTGTGATTTAGTAGATTTGATTACCGAAGTGTTGGCAACCCTGCCTGCCGCTCTCGAGCCATTCGCTTTTATGTGTGTGACGCGTCTACACGTTCCGGTACTCGGCTACACACAATACGTAAACAACACGGATCGAACGCTGTGACTAGTGACTGGTGTTGACAAGGACAATATCCTACTGAGTAAGTACTCTTTGAATCTTCACAAACTCCAGTAACAGCGTTTTGATACGCAACAGATTCCCGTATATAAACTAACAGGAATCAAATAGGTACAGGGCTAGGTATAGAGAAATAAAATAACTGGTTACCTACTTGTAAATCCTTTTTAGACAAAAATATAGTCTTTCATAGTGACATAACAAACTGCTGCTCACCAATCACTGCTTAACAATAATATTAAGCTGGGTTAGTATTAATTCAAATACAGGGCTTACTTTCTAGCATGGGAAAACACAAGAGAGGCCGTTCAAGGGAGCGACCTTCACGAAAAGACAAGCAGAGAACCATTGAGGATCTCCGCAACAGACTGAGAGAGTACGATTGCGGCCCTAGATCACACTCACGCCGACGCAGCCCAAGCGTCCTTACTTAGAGGTCACGTTCTCCCCCCCACAGAAGACCCTCGGTGCAGGAACAAGCTTCCAAAAAACGTCGATCCAGTGCAACCTCCTCAAGGTACTTGAGTTCTAGGAATACATCGACAGTGCGTCGCGTTTCGAACAGCCCGACCTCTGTACGATCACATCCTACAAATGCCCCAAGAGAGCGTCGGGCTTCGAACAGCCCGACCAATCGACAGGACGCAAGCCGAGCCTCGTACAACTCGGTGAGCGTAGTTAGTCCGGCATCCCGCACTAGACTAGCTATCCACAAGGACTCGGGGGATTCGGACACACTCGTGCTCCAAGAGGAGACAGTTGTTCAAGATACTGAGGGTGCGGGAGACCATCTCCCAGAATGCATGGAAGGGGCACTAGGTATTGATTTAGAGACAGACAAGATTCAATCGTACCAGCTTATCGACGCAATAAGAAAGCTTTGGTCTCAGACAGTGGCGCAGGGCCTAGGGAAAGAAAATATGGAACAGCTCCTAGATCGGCACTGGCTTCCCATAACTTCCCCACTTTGAACCCTCCAAAGATTAACTCGGAAGTGATTCATATCCTTTCTCAGGGGGATGTAAAGAGAGACCAATCTCAAACTAGGTATCAATTGTTGGTGGCAAAAACTACTAGTGCCCTTGGAAAATGTTTTAACTATGTTATCGAGGAGATCAACAATAATCCCGAGTCTGACTTGAACAAGCATTTATTGCCTCATTTAGCAGACGCGGGCTCCTTGACGACTCGACTACTTTACGAGATCTCAATGATGCGTCGTGATTACATAGCGCAAGTTCTCTCCAAATCAGTCAAAGAGACAGTCAAAGATACCACGCCGGGGGAATATCTGTATGGTTCCGATTTAGGCGAAAAAATCAAGACGGCCAAGATAATGGAGAAAACTGGAAATGATCTACGATCAGACAGTTATTATAAGAACAAGGCTGGACCTTCTGGCATTAAGAGGGGAGGGGGCACACCTCTCAGCGGCAGTGTAACACCCCCAAAGGTTCTCGCACTCCATATAGAGACTAGCTACCACACGTCTTTAAACAGGCAACACCCACCTCGTCAGTCAAGGAGGGACACGGGGTCGAGGAAAGGGCAAGCTTCCAAGCAACGTCGCCTCCCAGTAAACAGATACCGATAAAGGTAAGTAACCTCAAACCAGCAGGAAGGCTAGCTCACTTCATGGGGGCATGGAAGTCTCTAACAAACAACTCTACAGTTCTGTCCTGGATAAAGGGATCCACTATCCTACTTTCAGAAATACCTCCTGAGCAACATCATAATAACCCACGGGCTCACATCGAACATGACCGTTCAATGGCCCAGGCAGTCAAGGAACTAAAGCCAGGATCAATATCTATCATCTTATTTTTTAGCCAAAAAATCCAATGGAAGGATCGGTTTATTTTGAATTTAAAGAATTTCAACAACTTCGTGAAGTATGAGCACTTCAAAATGGAGGGCTTCCGGACAGTCTTGAGACTATTGCAAAAGCACTACTGGATGGCAACCATTGACCTGAAGGATGCATATTTTCTAATATCAATAGACAAATCTTCCAGGAAGTACTTGAGATTCAGGTTCAATTCCGCTACATTTGAATTTACCTGTTTACCCTTTGGTCTTTCATCAGCACGCTACTGCTTCACTAAAGTGATGAGGCCTTTACTCGAGCAATTGCGAACCCAAGGGATCTTATTAGTCAACTATCTGGACGATTTCCGTATCATCAGCGACTCGTTCGAAAGAGCTAGACAACACGTTTCAATAGTTATAGCTACATTACAGGCCTTAGTGTTCATCATAAATTGTGAGAAAAGTGCTTTGTTACCAAAACAGAACAAAGTATTCTTAGGTTTCCAGTACGACACTATCAATATGACAGTGTTTTTACCCCTCGAAAAGAAAAAATACATTCAAAGTTTGTGATCCTTGTTTCAAAAACGAGATATATGCAGTATAAGGGAACTTGCACAGTTTATAGGGACACTCACGGGCGTGTCCTGCGGTCAAGTACGGTGGGTTGTATACCAAGAGACTGGAATGAGCAAAATGCTCAGCCTTAGCGATGGGAAACTACAATTATTATGACAGTATAATAGTTCTGCCACAAGATATCATAGGTAGTGACCTTGTCTGGTGGGAACAAAACATCCTCAATTCGGAAGCAGATATTAGACAACCAGAATATAGTATGTCTATTTTAACCGATGCCTCTCTGACTGGCTGGGGCGCGTGTAGTGGAAGCGATAAAACTCATGGGTTTTGGTCCCCTTTGGAGATAGATAAACACATAAATTACTTAAGAGCTCACAGCTGTACTGTATGCGTTGAAATGATTTGCTCGACATACAAGAAACTGCAGTATTCTAATTAGGTTAGATATCACGACAGCGATATCTTGTATTAACCGCTTTGGCAGCATTCAATATACCGAGCTTAACAACAGGACACGAGACATATGGCTATTTTGTCAAAATAGAAATATCTGGATTTTTGCTTCCTACATCAACACTAAAGATAATCACGAGGCAGACCAGGAGTCGCGGGTGATTTCAGTAGAAACAGAATGGTCCCAGTCAGCCTCAGCATTCGACGCGATAGAACACGAATTTGGTCATCCAGAAACTGATCTTTTTGCCTCAAAAATAAATCACAAATGTCAACGCTATGTATCTTGAAGGAAGGACCCAGATTCAGTGGCAGTCGACGCATTTACTATTAGATGGTCAAATAAATACTTTTATGCATTTCCACCACTCTGTTTGATACTGATAGTATTACAAAAGATTAACCAAGACAGAACTGAGGGTGTCGTTGTAATACCAGACTGGAAGGCCCAAGCGTGGTATCCTCTTATGAAAAGACTACAAGTAGGACCTTCCATTACCTTTGGACCCGACCCTAATCTGTTGTCATGGATTTTATTTCGGCAGCTACGATTAGCCAGTATTCGTGTACTTACCGTTTGTGGTGCAAGTACTGAGGAGAGAAGCAAATACCAGTTTTCCAGGCCAATGCACTACAAGTAATAGAATTCCTCCAGGAAATCATCGACCCAACAGGACTGAATTATGGTAGCATCAATAGCTATAGATCGGCAATTTCGCTGATCTCTCCTGAAAACCTGGGCTCACACCCAAAATTGAAGCGTTTCATAAAAGAAGACGACCAACTCAACCAAAATATAAATTCATCTGGGACCCACAACCGGTCCTTACATCGCTAGGGAATCTGGGTGAGAATCTCAAAAGCCTCACCCACAAGGTGTTGACCTTACTGACACTCGTCACTGGTGGTCGCCTACAAACAATTTCTTTAAGCAGGGTTTCAAACATCCGCATGGAAGAAACCAGACTCCAAATCATGATTACAGATTCTATAAAAACTTCATTCAATGTGAAAGACCAGCCCCTTCTGACCCTTTCGTTTTTACGCAAAATCCTAGCATATGTCCAGCGACAACAGTAGTACAGTACTTAGAAGCGACAAAAGAAATCCGAAATAATAAAGATTTTCTATTCCTCACTTATGTGCAACCACATAAAAAAGCTACGAAGCAAACCCTCGGTCGTTGCGTACGGCAGACACTGACATCCGCTGGAATAGATACGGCAGTGTTCAAACCTCATTCAATCCGACATTCGTCCACGACTGCGGTACATAGGGCTGGACTATAGGTTGAAAGTATTTGCAAAACGGCAGGCTGGTCTCAAAAGACTTCAACCATCGCAAAGTTCTACGGGCGACCATTATCTTTAGATTAGGACTTCGCAAACACATTATTGTCAATGTGTAGTTGAACCTGTTTCATCTGGTGTTTTAATCTACTAGTTAAGTTCTTTTCACTAAATAACAATGAATCCTTTCCCAGTTAAAGTTGGGGATTTTTCCGTTGCTCCATGAAAAACCAGCAATGCACATGCGGCTTCATCTTTAATCATCTACCTTAGTTAAATACATCTTCGGAATGGACGTGAGATATAATTTAACGATCAAAAGAACTTACCTGAAGTTCGATCGTAAATATATCGATCGTCCATTCCGAAGATGTAACCACCCTCCCTTCCCAGAAAGCAATGCTTTTCACCCTACGCACATGCATTGCAAACATCGCTTTGAAGGAATGGCTCGAGAGCGAGTGGGGATGTTTCCACGCTCGCGCTACTTCTTAAAAATGTGTGGCGCCCGTACACAGCGGCGTACTACCTTAATTAATACATCTACCTTAGTTAAATACATCTACCTTAGTTAAATACATCTTCGGAATGGACGATCGATATAATTACGTTCGAACTTCAGGTAAGTTCTTTTGATCGTTAAATTTTACTACTGTGTTTTCAACGGCAATTCATGCAATTTTTAGTTTCGATAAGTTCTGTCTCATTTTAATTGTCAATTTTTCTGTAATTTTTATGTACCTACTTACTTAATGTAAATTTAAATAAAATTTCGAACCTAACTCATACCTGTACTCTTTCAACTCGGGAAATATTCTACCCGATTACACTAGTGCATCAAAGTAAACCTGATAATTTTCCATTCAAGCATGTTGTCAGAAAAAAACCGCATTCGGTTATTATCATATTTTTTCCTAAGGACGAGCGCTCTTTCGCCAAAATATGAAAATAAACTTAAACTCATACGGACAACACGGTTCCATGAAAAATTATCGGTAATTTTGATGCACTTGTGTAATTACTTGTGAAAATGTGTATCTCAATCAATAAAAAACAAAGCCTAGTCTGAGTTTTCAGAATATTTTGTATCAGTTCTGGTTTACATTATTTTAGAATTAAAAAGTCCTGTAAAATTGTAATTCAATACGTTCAAGGTTTATTTTGTATGGAAAAAAGGGCATAAAGTTATCAATATTATTTATTGCAATGCTTTTCTAGAACTGGGAACAAATTGTGCATCTGATCACAGATGAAGTTAATGACTTTAGTTGTTTACTCTCCATAGGTAGATCTATTATTATGTAAAGACGACTGACTTTTGTTCATCTGATTTAACACGTAATCCGTATCGTCTTTCTCTTTTTGCTCCTCATCGTATTTGTTCACTTTTGCTCCTAGTGAAACCAAATCCTTAGACTTGTGGGTCCTTATAGCGTTCAGTTTCCTGAAACTCCGCTTTTCATCTCCTTCCCTGTATTCTCTAATGCAGCAACACATTGCACAACATTTTAAGATTAAAGCCAAAGGGTAGGCTAAGAAGAATATCACGTTCAAACAGAAATTTAATCTCTTTGGTAGAAGTCTAACATTTCTCTCTCTGGTGTCTGGATTGACTGGCCAACCTGCCACATCATAAACGACTGGCCTTTGTTTGAGCTCTTTCTCTTGGCACTGATTCAAATGTGTTGGGAGGTCCACAAATAGGCCTAGTCCTGCTTCTCCAATTTGTTTTGATACAAATAATCCCAATAAGCCCTTTATCACACCAAGCAATAGTAGTAGGAATATTACTATGAATATGAGCATCAAAATTATGTATACTGGTTTTTCAATGATATTCTTCTCCTTATTAAGCACAGCATCCTCGCATTGTCTGTTAAGTCTGTCGTTCCTAAACCGAAAATACGATGTATTTACCTCTCGAGCAACTGCTCCGCTTAAAACAACTAGGAATAATATGCAAACGAGCATATCAGTTAGAAAAAAGTATAGTGTCAAAGTGACGGAATATAGTATTATATTGTCACTTTCACATGACTTAAGCCGTTGTTGCTAGCGCTGGTGAGAAAATCGTTTCTTACTGCCATTATTCATCGCAATCCTCGGCTGAACTATACTTTAGCGCATATCGCAAATATTTCATTTCTTATTTTAAAATGAAAGATTAGGATCTAACTTGCACGAAAATATCATTTTTTCTTTAAGGAACCCTCTGCTTGCTATTTTATAGAACTTCAAAGTTGCATTTTGGGAGCTAATACTGTGGTATAGAATACTGCTATAAGCTATATAAAAGATTGTTCAAAATTATATGAATACAACATACACTGTAAGTTACTGTGATACTGTTCATCGCAATAATGCAAATAACTGAAAAAATAGCTGGTGCAAATCATTAAATAATGAAAACGATAGATAGAAAAACATACGTTATTATACACATTTTAAAACAAAGCGGATGCGTTTATCACCTTTTGTTAGGAAGAAAACAATTTTTTTCAAGATTTCTTCATACTCTTGTATCTACATATTTAGAGCAGCATTTTTACACGGTCACAGATGAGCCTCAAAGTTTATAAAAAAGAATATTCCATAGTGAAACACGCTGAACTGTTTATAAAGTTAGCACGCAAACTGAAGACACAATTATGTTTCAAACTGTCTTAGGGTCGATTTCACCATTTGACAAACCATTATTCTGCACGAATAGGGTACGAGTACTAAACAGTCCGTCAAATATACCCAATCAGCCTCAAGATCTCTCCGTCAAATTTTTGGCAGCAAAAAGCGTCCATAGTATTCAAAACAAAACACTGTAAAATATGAAGTGACAGCTTGCCATTGAAATGTTTTCAGTTTATTAAATATTATGAAATTATATAAAACTGAGCCAAAATTAAAAAAAAAATGCTTGATGGCTGAGTAAAATCCATTTTTTTTTCAGCTTAGCTGAAGGTTCCTCCATGTTTATTGCAACTTTTGTAATCCATATGTGATTTTATTAACTCAACATCACCTACTGGGTGTTAATAGTTTATCCTACCTTTGCAAACTTGCACTTCTAAATTTTTACATGAAAAAGTCTTTTCACTCAAATTTTTGTTAGGTGTTGCGTTTCAACACATTCATACACTTCTTTCCAATTCCTCAACGACATTTTGACACCATTGATCCGAAACTGTTCAAGATTTCATTCATACATTCAATTGCGGTTGCAGTTTTTTTTTTTTTATTTCAGTGTATCAGTCGCACCATCGGAGATGGTACATGGTACACTCAACATAACCACGTATTTCGGGGTTAGTGCAGATTTAACTGTACACGACAGTGTAATACGTAATTCTGCCCAAGAAAGATCTTGGAGGGAGCACTTTTTATTCCGAAATAACACAACAAGCTCAAAACAACAAGTGACCACAAAACATAGACTACGGTAACGTTGGAAAATAGACCAAAGAAGAATTGACATTTGAAATTAGTGTCTCACAATGTTAGTGATGGGAGGATACATTTGCAATCAGTGGAATGCATTGGAACGGTTAAAAGATATGAATTGAATCGTTTTTACGTTATCTCGACTGACAGACTGGAATATCTGCTCTGTTTCGGTACCTACATATATTTTTTGTGGTATTGTTGCATAAAGTAGTTTGTTCACAAACCAGTTCCTAGAACTGAATGCAACTTAATGCAAAGAACTAGAAAGCACATCTCTATTTCAAGTAATCCAAGGAGGGACAAATTGTCATTTCATCGCACTAGTGATGAGAGAATCGAAAGCCTGAGATTCGCTTTGCTTCTGTGGCTCAGAGATGTAGTGTTTTCTTCTGATAAAATTAGCGCAGTTTTTGTGTTTAAAATACTCTACCTTAGTTAATACTTTTGATCCTGAAGTTGCTCCCAAAACCACATTAAACAACTCTCATGTCGTGTCGCGTACAGTAATCTGTCAATGAAGCATATTTTTCGTTACTTTGTCCTTTTTCGTGTTACTATGATGAATCATCGAAAAGAATAATAGTAAACCACGAGCAAATAGCACGGCTGCATTCAAAGATGGAAATCGAGGCAGACAGTAGACAACACCAGCCCGAGTTGCTTCAAGTTCTGTATGTTTCTACACTGAGTGAAACACTAGTTCAAAATGCGCACCAAAAAAGCATGAATATATAAATTGTTTCTGTTATAAGAATTTGGAATATGCACCAGTCCAACCTTCACTGAAAGAAAACGCGATTGAATAGCTTGGTAATATGTAACAGTTTAGACCACTCAAGGCTGATTTCAGTAGCTTCTATTTTGGCCACTTTCTCAGTTATAATCTCATCTCACTTCAAACTGACTCACATGTTAGAGATTTTGCACTTTCCCCCGCGCCCCTGGAGCCTGTGGTTGTAGGTTCTTGCTTCCGAAAGATTTTTGACTCGCTTGACTGTTGGCTACGTTTATATATTTTTTGGAGATTTTCAAATCTTTCAAAGATTTTGCAGACCTTTGGATGTTCTAGAACAGGGCTGTACAACTTAATGTGGCCCAAGGGCCACTTCAAATAAGAAATGCAGTTTGGAGGGCCGCATTATAAAATCTTTCTATACAACATTATTACTGAGTTTTTAATAGGTATATGCATATTCGGTATTTGAGAGTAATTTATACATGTGATGTATACATGACCCGTGAAGCGGGCCGCAGAAAGGAGTTCGCGGCCGCATGCGTGTCAGATGGAATTGTTATTTGACTGTTCCTTAGTTCCTTCTGGTACCTATAGAAAAATCATTTTTCCCACTTGCAGTGTGCTGAGTCATTCAATTATTTTCTTGCACCGATCAGTATGAATAAAATGTCCCATCACTAGTCTAGTCGCGACTGAGTCACGTGACATCTGGACAAAACAACACTGTTGCCAGACTTAGCGATTTCTGTATTTTTTCTCCACTTGTCCGCTGGATATTTCCAGCATTTTGGCTACATTGGTATTCCATTAAAGTTCGCCTTTTTACACTTAAAGCATTTTCAAGTGCCGAACGCGACTAGTGATTATACTGCGCTAATCTCCCCAGCCAACATACAATG